CTCTCTACATTCCACACATGCTTTTTCTCCTGAATATGCCCTTTGTCTCCTTTGGCCAGTTCAGAATTCCTGCTGCTCTGTATCTTGGATCAGTATCCTGGTTCACAGAGGCCATACTCCTTCCATGGAGCAAGTCTAATAACTTCTAGAGGAAAACTAGATTTTTTTTCAACCTCCTACCCCATTGATGTTCCCACTGCTCGTTCCTCTTCTTATGAAGTTCTTCCCATTTGCTCCGCCTCTTCTTGAGGCTCCATCTGCTAAAAAAAAGAAAAACATACTTCATTGCTGCTTCTTTCATGTCTGGCCACATGGTTCCCACCTCCTAGGTCTGGCTAGGACTCTCACTGCCTCCTTTCAAAAAAATCTCCTAAAAGGCCACCGGCTCCATGAATCATTCCATCTTCAAGGTCTCTACACTGTTCTATATTTGTTCTCTATTGTAGGGTATTAATTAATTTAGCCCTATAACACGAGCCCCGTGAGCCCAAGTCAGTTGACCCAGGCTCTGAGACTTGTTACCACAGGGTTTGTCTTGCTGTGTAGACACATCCTGAGACTGTAAGTTCTTCATAGCAGGGCTGTCTACTTGTTGGAATGTTCCTTTAGTACAGCATGGCATATTCTGACAGTGCTACATAAATAAAAATAATCCTTATTATAACTTTGCTCACTGAAATCTTGCTAAGCTCTGTCCATAAGGACTCTTCACTTTTGCTCCTTTCTCACAAATCCCTCTTGATCAGGACATGCAGGAAAACGAGGAGAGACACAGGAATGGTTTAAACAGCTGGCTGTTATTAACAGAACATTGGGGAAGGGCACTCTCTCTACCAGGGGCGGCTCTATGTATTTTGCTGCCCCAAGAACGGCAGTCAGGCAGCTTTCGGCGGCGTGCCTGCAGGAGGTCTGCTGGTAACGCGGATTTGGCGGCATGCCTGCGGGAGGTCCGCCGGTCCTGCGGCTTTGGCGTACCCGCCGCCGAAGCTGTGGGACCGGCGGACCTCCCGCAGGCATGCCGCCGAAGGCAGCCTGACTGCCACCTTCACAGCGACTGGCAGGCCGCCCCCCGCAGCTTGCCGCCCCAGGCACGCGCTTGCTGCGCTGGTGCCTGGAGTTGCCCCTGCTCTCTGCCCTGGCTCCCTCATACCAAGCATCTAAGTGGGTCACAGAGTCATAGAGCTAAAGGGACCACTAGGTCTGTGGTCTCCCAGTTTGTCACAGGCCATCTACTCTACTCACCACCCACACACTAAACCCAACAACTGAAATTAGACCAAAGTATTACAGCCCTCAGAAGACTAGACTATTATGTGCTACAGGCAGAGAATAGGAGGGACAGAAGTGCACAAATGCTCAAGGCGCCTGCAATGTCAGGAAATGGATTAAGTCAGATACACCCAAATAATCCTGGCAAATGACCCACACGTGGCAGAGGGAGGTGAAAAAACGCCCAGGTCGCTGCCAATCTGACCTGGGGGAAAGTTCCTTCCCATCCCCATATGCAGCAATCAGTTAGACCCTGAGCACTTGAGCAAGAACCAGCCAGCCAAGCTCCCACTGCCACCTCAGAGGGCTGTCTCTCCCTGTCCAGTGTCCCATTTCCAGCCATGGCCATCTCTGGTGCTTCAGAGGAAGGAGACCAAACTCCCTCAGAATACTTGGTGCTGGGGGGCGAATTCCTTCCTGACCCCTGTAGTTGGCTGGCTGCAACCCTGAAATGTGCTTTCAGGAACGTAAGACATTAACCACAAGTGAGCCCCGGGGCTATTGACCCTGATCCCCTCATACACTTGTACTTATACATTTGTCCAGCTCTTTCATAAAACAAATTGTTTGGCCCCAACAACTGTTCCAGAACCTCACCCCTCTGATGGTTGGCAACCTAATTTTCAGAACAGAGTTACAGGGTTTCTACTATATAACCCATACATATGTTACCCCTGCAAAGGGACAGAGCATGCCAAAAGAGGAACCTCAGTCTGCAAAGACTTCAAGTCTCCCCTTTTCCCATAGATCCAAGGTCCATCAGCAAAATGCCATGTCTCTTCTGGGAGCTGGCCCTTTGGGCCTTTTATCCACACTGGCCACTAGGGGTGCCAGCGATTAATTTAGTTTCACCCCTATCCCCATTATGACTTTAGGCACTGTTCTGAGCAAGGGATAATAGGTAAGCTGTGCAACTCCCAGAGTAGGCCCGGAAGAGTTTGTGCCTCACAGATACCCCACTGAAGCAAATTCCCTCCTTGCTTCCCTTTTTTCTCTAGAAGGTTAGTAGTTTGCTGCTGGTATACACTGATAGCAAATAACACCACTCCCTGTACTGGCTCATCTGCACTGGCTGGTGCATTGTTGCAGGTCAAGGTAAACATTCTATCCACTCCCTGCCCCACATGCTCACAGCTGAGGTTCTTACTCCCCCTACACTCCTGCACTAATGCATAATCCAAGTCACTGTCTAACCTAAAATGAGTAGCACCACATATTGTAAAATGAAAAGCAGTGCCTTGTTTTGTAAGCAGAAGAGACTTAAAGGTTAGAGGTCACGATTGTGAAGGGAACTTGCTGTAAGCAACTTAGCGTAACTGACCACTCTCCAGGCTTTAAAAAAAGAAATCCTGCAAACAAACCAACAAAATACATGTATTTAACCTGCTAATTCCGGTCTGAGTCCTTTATACTCTGGAGCTCCACTGGCCACCACTGGAGGTTGTTGCCCACCCACACATAGCTTTTTAACAAATTTTGGCTACTCTTTGTCTTCTCTGATTTGTCAGCCCCACAGTATGCAGCATTGTCACAGCAAGTTTGAAAAGCAAAACCTGGGAGATATTTAAATGGTCCCTATCATAAACATTCTATATTATCAGCCTCACCAGCACACACATTTTCAATGTGCCCTATTTATAGAAATAAAAGAGAGAGATGGCAACAGACAGGCAGACAGAATTATTTAGTTATTAATGACTGGCTAAGAAAATTAATGCTGAATGAATCTCACAGGCTAGGTAAATTGCTGAGAGTTTAAGAAGAAAAAAAGATTGCTTGGTTCATCTATTAACTGTAATAAGATAGTGATGAAGCAAATCAAATATTTCCATGCCAAGGTCTTTTTCTTACACTATAATTAGTTTCACAAGATTAATATTTTTATATCTCTCTGAAGTTTATTATTATCAGGGGAAACTTGTTGAAAATTGGATGGCTAGAGCAGCAGGAGAAAGTAAACATTTAAAAAGTTAAAATGAACATTCTTAATGTATCTAAGTACAAAAATCCATTTCAAATTATCTCCAAGTTCAAAATTAAACTGGAAAGAATCTCAAGTTTTCACTCCAGCCAAAACTTCATGGGCCAACTCCTCAGCTGGTGTAAATCGGTGTGGTTGTGGTCCAATATGTGGTCACCAAAACAGATAGTGTAGTAGGCACAATGGTTTAAATTAAGGATCTCAGAAGGAAAAATATTACTGGAATTTCTGCAAAAATGAATTCTAGAGACCTAGCAGGCAGTAACGTGAATGTCCCAATCAGGGCAATAGACTTGAGGATCTGTGAGCGTCTAACTGCTCATCCTTAACACCACTAGCCCACAAGAGAAGAGATGCATGACAAGGCAGAGGCTTGGTAAGAGAAGCGTAGTGATAGAGGCATTCAGACACTCCTGGAATGATTTACTTTGACTGGGAAGGGAATGTTTTAGCTCAGCCTCAGAGGTAACAATATTTTACAATGATGCAATGGTATTACTGCTGGGATTTTATATAGTGGAATAAATGCTGTCTATTCCCCCAAGAATGAAAGGGGCCTTCTGGCTCTAGAACTGATGCAGTTCTACTACACAATGGTGCCAGCAGTATTTGTGGAGGCTGTGTGTGGTGCCTAATACCACACAAGGCTTATTTCCATGGTTAATTGTTAAAGACCCATTTTAGGTGATCACAATAGCAATAAAGAATGTACTCAGGCACTGGGATAGCATATAGCCACATTATTTTTTGTATAAAAGAATTTTTTTTGTTTTACCTGCTTTTGCATGTGCTGTTTTGGAGCTGATGGGTAGAAATAAGCCACATCAGCAATCAGCAAGGTCTTAAGTGCAAATCTTTACTGGCTCACTATTGCTAGGTGCTGAGCACCCTTAATGCCCATTTTAGCCATTGGAATGCACTCACGGAAGTGCTCAGTGCTATGCAGAATGGATCCCTACCGTAACTCCAGATGAGTTACCATAACTCAAAACAAACATAACACCTGACACTCCCCCCACCTGGATTTCATTCCAGTCTTCAGAACCGAGCAGCCATTCTTATAGCCTCTATTCTGAACAGCTGGGCAAAGAGGGAGGAAGACAGGAGATAGAGTTAATCCTTTCCTAGCTGAAGCACTTTCACTCTACCCTTATCCTTTCTGAATGCTGAGTGAATATTGTTAGCTTCTTTGATAAAGACTTATTTTCTTTTTCTGTAGTAAAGTTTTCTGCAGCTTCTTTTAGGGCAGGGAAATATTACACACACACACACACACTAAAAATGGTCAGTGATTTAAGAAAAAGAATGAATCAGGCTGGCAATTTGAATTCTAAGCCCACTGCAAAATAATCTCCAAATTGCTGCAGACTTGTCCTGCTACCACATTAGGGCAGGATGCCTATCCTTGTATCACATGAATTTGCTTGGTAAAGTGGAAAAATAGTGACAGCCTGTGGGTTAAAAAAAACTAGCCATAAAATACTAAATAACAGGTTTTATATTAGGAATAGCAGTTCAGCTAGGCACTGCCAATAGAAACAATAATGATGATGGAAAGTGTGTTTCCATTATGTACTGTAACATTAAAAGTTCTGTGCAGTAAACAATAACTGAAACTTACTCATCACTTTGTTACAATTTTGGTTAAACTCACATAGAATAACATTATCAACTTCTCTTTTTTCCATTAAATTCTATAGTTAGTATTGCAGGTGTATTTGTTAACTTTTTTTGTGTTCACTTTAAACAGACACTTGCTGCCCGAAAGTCTGGTATATCCCTGGCCATGGTTATCCGGACTTCCATAAACAATGAAGAAATGGTAAGTGCTTTTCAGTGGAAGTTGTGTTCATTTAAATAATGAAGAAACTTTGCTAGAGCTATTTGAACATCTATTATTAATGTTATGCAAAAGGTGATGATGTTGACAATTTTGTTTCATCTTGACTGGGCATTTTTATAGTATTGCTGTTTATTTATTTATATATTTTCTGGTAGCACCAAGATGCTCTTCCCTATACAAGTGCCCTGTGTTGCTAGGTGCTTTACAAACATATAAAAAGACATGGTCCCAACAGCAAATGTTACAGACTAAGAAAAAAACAGCCAACAAATCTCGAAAGTAAGGGACATCTAAATGTACTGTTTGTCTCACACAAACCCAGGGCTTTTTGCCTTCATTAGTGCAAAATAAATAAGAAATACTAAATCAGGCTCTTAGGATTGTATATTTATGTTAAAATAATAAATGACCTGTTATTTTAATCTTCCTAATATGTAGTTTGGTCTAATAATATATTTGGTTCCAAATATATTGGTCTAAGCATCTGGAATGGAAAACCTGGATTTCTTGAAAAAATTGGTTCAAACCTCCTCAGAAGTTATTCAGCCCTTTGTCATTCCAGGATAGAATAATCTAATTTTTGTGCCATTTGCAATGTGGGGACTTTCAGATGAGACAATTAAAAAAACCAAAAACAAAACAAAACAAAAAAACCAAGATCCTGTCTGACATGACAGGACAATATTGATCTTTTATTCTTTTTCATAAGAGCAGAGATTGATTCTACTCTTCTAAATTTTCCCTCCCCGCTCTGCTATGCAACCTGGCTAGTTAAGCAGCCTGGCTAGATCTTACAGGATAAAAGGTGTTACATAAATGTAAGAGATTATTATCCCTAAGAGTGTTTGTTGGTCTGTGTTTCTGAATCATTCCAGTCTGGCATTTAACCCGTATGTGTATTTTTGCAGATTTAGAGCAGTGGAGGGGGAAAGCCTGGGTTGATTTAATTTGGTCTGTCGTGACTCTCACTTGAAATGGGTCATGAGAGACATTTTTATTTTATAAAACATTTATTTTATGTGCATTCTGTTTATGGGAAACTGTCATTTTAAAGATGTTTAACAGTGCTGTGCACAGGAAAAGTGCCTACTGCCTTTCCACTCCTGTTACTTTGTTGTGTCATAGTTTACCTATTAGATTAGATTGCAGGGACCATGTGTAATTTTTCACTACTGATAAGCACCTAGCAGCCTTTTGGCTATATAAAATACACCAGTAATAATGAGTGCAGTGGTATATGGTTCACTAGAATGATTATTTCCCACATAAACTTACAGTGACAATCTTTCAAAGACAATCACATTCTGATAATCTGGCCATAACCATTTCCCACCAGTATTTTGCAAAAGAGGGTTGTTTTAATCAAGAACACAATAGATGTCATTCTTTCCATGGAGATTTGAAGTGTGATGCAAGTAATTTTAACTGGCTAAACCTAGCATGATTAAACAGAAGCACTAATTTGAAGGATAAAGGCCACTCATGTGTCTTCCCCCAGTTACCAGGCCAAACACATTCTTCTATGATTTATTCTCCTTTGAGAAAATGAAACACATTGCAATTTCTTCTAATGCAGTTAGGCTCCACAGTGGACATGCTGCAGGTAGAAAAGTGGAGAGGCTGCTAGTGGGCTACATCTTCATATTGAAGACCTTCAAAAGAGGCCCCATAATTTGACTGGAGATGGTGTGGTGCCATTGGTAATCATAAAGGAATAAGCTGGTAGTACTCAAAAATAGAATGATGAAGTGGAAAACAACTAGTGTTTAAAATTATCCTTTTCAATAAAAGCAGCAGTTACCTTGTGCTGCAGTCTCAAAATAGCAACAAAGGTTGATAGGGCAAAAGCAAAGTATGGAATCGTAAAAAAACAACAGGCACAGAAAAATATAATTTATATAGACCAAAATACATCACACAGCTAGTACAAAATACACATCTTTTTCTGTTATTTATTTCATATGACTATGAAAATAGCTGGCCACGTTTACAGAATTTAAAAGCAATCCATATGTATTACTAACAGATGCCCACGAAAAGACAATTTCTAATCATTACCAACTCCTGTGACAATCAATATCCATTCAGCCTCTGACTCAAATCAGCAACAACAACAACAAAAAGGGGGGGGGGGAGAGGCAGGCAGATTCAACAAATTCATTTGCACAGCTTTTTGTTTTGTTTTGTTTTTTTGAAGCAACCAGACTCTCCCTCTAGAGAACTGTAAGAGGGAGCAAGTTCTAGAGCTGACATATTTATTGTTGACAAATGCACGATAATGCAGACTGGAAGGACTAATTTTAACCACACTGTTCGATTCTGAATTAACTGTAACCACTCAGGGGAAGAAAGTGGGGGTCCTTTCAGACAGCTCAATGAAAACGTCTGCTCCATATGTGTCAGCAGTCGGAAAAGTTAATACAGTGTTAGGATGCATAAAGAATAGGATGGAAAATAATACTGCATATATTATAAGGCTGTTATATGGCTTGAGCTTGATAACTGTTTTCAGTTCAAGTCAGCCCATATCAAACAACATGTACCAGAAATAGAAGTCTGAAAACAGACAACAAACATGATTACAAACATAGGACGATATCTACATGATGAGAGAATGAAAAGATTAAGTCTGATAGTTTTAGAAAGGAGAGGAATAAAGGGAGCCTGTTATATGACAGTTATATAAAGAATGGTACTGTATAGAGAAGGCAAACTGGGCACTTATGGGGGACATACAATAAAACCGAAAGGCAACAAATTTAAAACTTGACAAAAGGATATACTTTTCTACCCAATGAATAAGTAACCAGTGGAACTCACTGCCACAAGGTATCATTGAGACCAAGTGCTTAGCAGGATTGAAACAAGGAACAGACATTTACATGAATAGTGGGAACATCCAATTATAGACAGGCTGAAAGTTAATGGATGTGTAAACCCTCAATCTTTAGTGAATGAGACATCCATTAGCTGACAGGAGTTAGGAAAAAGCTTTCCTTATGGGCAGGTTATCCCCTTATAGGGTGTTTTACAGCTACTTCTGAGGTGTCTGGTACTGACCACTGTTCGAGGCAGGATACTGGGGTGGCTGGACAACTGGTTTGATCCAGAAAATTCCGATGTCCAACTTTCCACTGATGATTTCCACCCAGAATAAATTGCCACCTACCTCCCATAAATTAAACTCTGGGGATAGACTGTATAAGGATTGCTGCCCCATGCACGTGCTACAGTGGGACATAATTATGATATGTAGTCAATACATATAATCTAAGGCCCTGATTCAGCAGAGCACTTAAGCATGTGCTTAATGTTGTTAACATCACTGAGACTTAATTGTGTGCTTAAAGTTAAAGCATAAATTTAACTGCTTTGCTGAATCAGAGCCATAGCACTGTAGGTTTGTGGTATGTCACTGGTGCTCAAAATACTGCTAATTGGAAGCATAATTATTTGTTTTTTTATTTCCTTTTTCTTAAAAGGAATGGAAAGTTCAAAAAGCATGTGCCATAATGCTTGAGTGAAATTATCTCAAATTGTCTAAGGAGAATAAGTGGATAATTTTTCAGTATTGGAGGATTTTGCTGTGCATTAACAGTGCCTAGATATTGCTCTAATCAGAGCGCTATAAATATACACAATAGATCAGGACAGAATACTATTACGAATGAAAGCATTCTGAGGATCAGATAATAAGATATATAAAATTATCCTTTTGCTACATGTTAAATAGCACAGAATCCATTTAATTCTTGTTATTGTTTAGCAAGAGATTGTTCTTACCAAACATATATACACAAATATCATTTGTAATATAGGGCTGCCAAGCGATTAAAAAATTAATTGTGATTAATCACGGTATTAATTGCGCTGTTAAACAATAATAGAATGCCATTCATTTAAATATTTTAAATGCTTTCTTCATTTTCAAATAAACAAGAGGTGAGCAGCATTAACTTCCGTAAATGTAAACTTGTTTGTCTGAGCGACTGGCTGAACAAGAAGTAGGACTGAGTGAACTTGTAGGCTGTAAAGTTTTACATTGTTTTATTTTTGAGTGCAGTTATTTTTTGTACATAATTCTACATTTGTAAGTTGCACTTTCATGATAAAGAGATTGCACTACAGTACTTGTATGAGGTGAATTGAAAAATACTATTTCTTTTGTTTATCACTTTCACAGTGCAAATATTTGGAATAAAAAATAATATAAAGTGAGCATTGCACACTTTGTATTCTGTGTTGTAATTGAAATAAATATATTTGAAAATGTAGAAAAACATCCAAAAATATTTAATACATTTCAATTGGTATTCTATTGTTTAGCAGTGTGATTAAAACAGCAATTGATCACAATTAATTTTTTAAATCGCGATTCATTTTTTTTAATCGCGTGAGTTCACTGATTAATCGACAACCCTAGTAATATTATACTGTCCTTTAATAAATATGAGTAAATTAAGCTTTTATTTCAAAGACACAACTTGTAAACCAGTTATTCAGACAAAACATATTTTTATCTTCAAGTTTCCCATAATAGCCTTATGCTAAATAACAAAAAAATGAAACGTGGATTATTTGGCTGCTGTGCTATTTACCACAAAGCAAAAGGATTATGTAAAATGTGTTCTTTCAAGAACTACAACAATTTATTTTGATTTCTTTACACAATGTAATGGTCCAGATCTTACAAATGAAATATACCCTGTGAAAATCAATGGAATTGAATAGGGTGAAAGACACAGCAGGATTTGCACTGACATGATTAATCAGATCATATATCTTATAGCAATAAATCTGCAAAGGAATCTTCAAAGACAGTCTTTTCTGTGAACTGTGATTAATCAACATACGGTATAAATTCAGTTTGAGATGTTTTGAGGTTTTCTTTTTAACCTCTGTACCTGGTAAGCTGTGAAGGGGGCATTCTGGGAATTGGAAAAGGGGAAGGAATGGAACAGGTTGTGCTTTAGAGATCA